TGTCCACTAAGCAGGTGGCTACAAGCTTTCGGATGCAATTGCTTAGTGCTCTGCCACTGTAAGTTGTGTGCCACTGGACACATGTCTTTACCTTTCTGAGTCTAGCATTGCATTATCTAGAACCTGAAACACATATTCCCACAGGTAAAGCAAAAATACCTAGGAAAACAGGGAATATGCTGTTAGCTTAAAACTCAGGACTACATTGTGGGAGACAAAGGAACCCTGGGTGTCTTCACCCACATACTCAGTGAAGAGAAAGCCTATCCCCCTCTGTTTTAATCCTTGGAAGTGCCCTTAGATGACAACCATGGTAAACCCATGTTTCCAACAAACACAGGAAAGCCGTGTTTCCCACCGTAACTGTACCTTCATGGTTACTTGTAAGACAGCCACCTCCATAACTGGGTTGTAGTGCTTCTTGATGACATGACACAAGGTTGGTTCATTGGTGCTCAAACTAAGCTCTTTGGTTGACCTTTATTCTTCTTAACATTTGTTTAGGCTATAGACCTCCTGAAAATGTTATGTCAGGTATGTGCCCCTTTTCCAGGGTGTACACAATCCTGTGACCCAACTACCTTCCCCCAGTTTCCTAGAAAGCTCCAGGAAAAAGAGAACTTATGAACAGTCCCTGAGTAGAGATGCTACACCAATCTGAGTGGGCCCTGTAGAGTGGGCACCACAGATGTGCATAAAACAGGCCCAGGGCAGCCATCCTGGGGTATAACTTACAGAGGCCAGCTGCTGCTGAGTGCTGGAGAGAAAACAAAGCAGAGAATGGGAGAGGAAGTGCCAGAGATGGGAGTAGGGCTTTGAAATACAACACAGGGTGACCAGGTGACATTTATATCAAGACTAAAGGAAATGAGGGAGCTGGCCTGTTGGGAGAAGTGAATTCCAGCCCTAAGGAAGAGCTAGAGCAAAGGCCCTAAGGTGGGAAGACACCTAGCCTGTTGAAAAAGGGTTAGGAGGCCCTTGTGAGGCAATTCATGGTGAAGGAAGAGGCAGGGAGATATGTCCCACTTGGCCGTCAGAAGCCCTTCAGCTTTGTACAGAGTGCTTTGGTGAGCCAATACAGCATATTACACATCAGGAAGCAGAAGGGTCTACTGGAGGGAAGAACCTGGGCAATCTTGCTTCTGGAGTGAACCAGTAGGAGATGTGTTGTGAATATTAATATTTACTATTGATTTACTTTTAGTTAAGCAGCTGTTATTCCTAACCCAGCTGTATACCCAAATCACCACACAGAGACTAGGATTTATTTAATTAACCTAGAGCACAATGCTGGGTAATAGTTACTCCATCCTAAAACTCCAAGCCTGCATAGTTTCTTACCATTCATATTTCACCCATTATACTTGCTTTTAGTCATATCTTAGGTCCTGTTCATCTCTCCTCGTGGTTCAAAGTTCTCTCCTGCCGACTTCCATTCTCCTTTTTCTCCACTTGCTTCCTTCCCTCCTCTCCAGACCAGGACATCCCACCGTATTTTCTCCATTGCTCAGCATTGTGGCTGGTTGTTCTATTGACAATACAGAGAACAAATGGTGGCATGTTTACACAAATTTGAGACAGGTGATGCTTAGAATAAGCATCACAATGCAATGTCCAGGACTGAAACCAGATAGTGGGGTAGAGAAATCAACATTTTAATGAACAAAGGTAAATTGTATATGTTCCAAAAGAACATTATACTAACAGAGATGCAAGAGGCTGGAAACAGAGGATATCCACAGAGAAGCAGAGGAGACTGAAACTGTGACTTTGTTTTGAAGCCAGAATTTCTGTGGGACTGGATAGGGAGTATGGCTGAAAGAAGAATCATTGAAGCCTCCAAGGAAGTGGTGCTAGATACATTAAAGAATGTGTTGCCTTGAGCTGAGATCTTGAAATATGGCCTAGGCATGCTAGGGGTCCTAGATAAGTTGGATTCTTGGGTGATTTGAGATAACTAGTGATCTTTTAGGTAGTAATGCCAAGCAGTTAGCTTTAGGACAGGTACACAACTGTGACTTGTACTTCCCAAGATACTTTGGAAGAATGGTCATCACTTCCTTCCTGGGAGGAGCAGAGTTACATGGAATGTGTACCACTAGGAAGAGAGCTTCACCTTCCACCTCCTAGGCTAGAGCACATTTAAATGATAAAAGCCTGTAAACAATGCCCAAGCTGCCTTGATGGTTGGCTATCCTATTCCTTTTAACTCTGATTAATCAAATACTCTTTTTTTTTACCCCCAATAAAACTGGCCTTTTATTTTAAATTCGGCTCAACTGGATTTATTTTTTTTAATTTTTATTTTATTTTATTTTATTTTTTAATTACACTTTATTTACTTTGTATCCTCCCTCTAGGTCCCTCCCTCCTCCCCTCCCAATCCCTCCCTTCCTTCCCCTTCTTCATGCATGCCCCTCCCCAAGTCCACTGGTAGGAGAGGGTTTCTTTTTCTTCCTTCTGATCTTAGTCTGTTAGGTCTCATCAGGAGTGGCTGCATTGTCTTCCTCTGTGGCCTGGTAAGGCTGCTCCCCCCTCATCTACACAATGGAATATTACTCAGCAATGAAAACAAGGAAATCATGAAATTTGCAGGTAAATGGTGGGAACTGGAAAGGATCATCCTGAGTGAGCATTACCAGAAGCAGAAAGACACACATGGTATATATAGACTCATAGAGACATAATATAAGATAAACCTACTAAAATCTGTACACCTAAAGAAACTAATCTAGAGGGAGGACTCTGGCTAAAATGATCAATCCCCATCCAGAATGGCAAAGAGGATGGACATCAGAAGAAGAAGAAAACAGGAAACAAGTAAGGAGCCTCCCACAGAGGGCCTCTGAAAGGCTCTGCCCTACAGACTATCAAAGCAGAATCAAATACTCTTTAAGTGACTCCCAAGGTCTCTCAGCCATGGGAACCAAAGATGAGCGATCTCTCTGTGAATCCTGAGGGTACCCTAGATTGACTTCATTAGTAGTTCATAGCCTCTGCTGGCAACTGCAGGTCCAAAGTAGAAAGGATTAGACCCAGCTACAATGTATTCCTACCAACCTGCTAAACTGAGAAGCACTGCCTTGACCCACTGGATGGTTCATGCCGCCAGTATCTAGCATGTGTCTTGAGTGGGGGCCCAGACAGAGCTGGGTCGTCAAAGAACTTCAAAAGCTTAAAGTGGACTGTGTAGTGCCTAAGAAGTGCACCAGGGAATTTTGTTGTTGGTAGGGGTCCTAGAAGTTTTGACCCCTTCCCCCAGACTGTCTTATGTCTTAGGGCTAAGGAGGGAATGAAAGGAGGGGCTGAGTGGACATTAGCCCCACTCATTACGGCCTTGAGCTCCTTCCTGCAGGAAGGACAAGCTGCATGTTGCTAGTGCTTAGAGGCACTGCACAACCACAGCTCTAGCTGTGGGAGTAGTTGCTACATTACCCTGCAGTGCTCAGCCTCTGTTGCAACTGCTACTGCAGTTTCTGCAGCTGCTGCCGCTGCCACCAGGGATAATTCAGATTACTGACATGCCTGGGTCGGGTACTTGAAGAAAGGGAGGGAGCAGAGAGAGAAGTCGCCCAGCCTTAGTATTAGGGTAGAGAGCGCTCACTGATCCACCAGCAGTCTACAAGCAAGTCAATCTGCTGCAAAAGCTACAGGTGATGTTCCTGTGATCAACTCTGGCATAAACCTAGTTTGAGCATGGTCTTCGCTTGCCCTGGGCCCAGAGCAAAGAGAACAAGCACGCAATAGAGAGACTGTGGCCAGCGCGCCTGAGTTCCGAGATAAGCTTACTGGCAGCTAGGACAACAACCAGACTCTGAGCCAAGAACAAAAGGGGAGAGAAGAGGGAGTAGGGACACTAGGGAATGAGAAGGTCCCTTTGGACGTGTGCAGGGGAGGGGGGCTGTGGCGGTGGTAGCCTGTAGGCTAATAGCTGACACTTGAGAGCCTAGGACTCCACTGAAGTTACTGCTGGTCCGTTTGTTTTCCCATCCAGGTATGAACTGTTGTTGAGCCTACAGACATATTGCCTCCTTAAGTGGAGAGTGAGACCAGCGCCACCAGTGCAGCTGCCGCCCACTGCAGGTGAACGCCCCTACCTGAAGGAGGAGGGGGAAGCTGGCAGCACTGGTTTCAGAGTTAAGCTCTGCTGAGATTAAGAAGGGGTCTCCCTCCCTCTTTGCTTACTTCGTCACCATCCCTCTCTCCGATTATCTCTGTCAGTTTTTGCTTGGGTTCTGTCTGTCAGCCTCTGTCTTCAATCTCTAAGGCTAAGGCTGGAACAAACTCTCACTTTATTACCGTTGAATGATGGCTTTCCTGCTCACTCACTCTCAATATTCTGTCTGTCGGTAACCCTCACCAACTAGCCACCAGCTTATCCTGTTCCAAAGCTAACTGGAAAAGTCAACCTGAGACAGGTGGCTTTTGCCCTAGGCCCAGGGTCTCCTGTGACCCTCGAGTGGAGTGGCTCCATTAGATTATGACTGGGGTTACTTTCTAACCTTGCTGTTCCTTCTCCCCATCAGCGTACAGTCCAGTCAAGCCATTTGTCTTTGCTAATATAGGGCGCCCTTCACCTCCGAAGAAGCCTTCATACCCTTACTCTTTTAATTTCTCTGGTCTCTGCCAGCTGTCCCAGTAGCCATAACGGAGAAATGAGGCTGCCACTACGAATCTAGCCTGCTGTTCCTTTGCCTATTAAAATGTGTCTGGAGAATTTGGGAGGTCCCTTGGGCGACTGGTTCTTAGACTGCTTGTGGCTACATCCTGGTCTGGAAACCCTGTATTTCAAAGCTTAAGGCCGGTGGGGTCGCAGGCAGGGCAGCGCAGCTTCTCCTTTAAGACCGGAGCTGCTCGTCGCCCTGAGTGTGAGGGTGTGTGAGTGTGCGGCGTGCGTGTCTCCTCCTCCCTGAGTGACACAGCAGTGAGAAATGCCTATCAGTAACTTAAACCCCTAAACTCCACCTTCCGGGCGCGCGGCGCGGAGCCGGGCGGTGGGAATGGAGCGAGCAGATTGAGGCCGCCACTGCAGCGCCGCCAGCATGAACTTGGCCGCAAGCTGAAGCGGCGGGCGGCTGGCGGGCGCGGGGCCACCGGCCGCTAGCCAGGGGGTGATCTTCAATCCAGCTGGGCCATTCGGCGGGCGCCTGGGGGTAGGCTGCCCGTGCCGGCCGCCGCCCGCCCCTCTGGCTCTACCCTGGCTGCCGCTGGAGCTCCGCAAAACGGTAAGGGTGAAGGTGGGTGCGGGAGGTCCAACTGCTCGGGTGTGGGGCACTCTAGGGCGCACTTATAGCCCCCACTTAGAGTCTCCATCTTTGAGGATTCTGGGCCCCGGGATGCCGTGTGATGGGAGACCCCAAAGTTTGTTCTGAGCACACAGGCCCTCCTGGTGCTGGGGTTGGCTACCCCTTTCTCAGACTGGCCTAACTAGGGTGAGCACAGGTCTCAATGCCCAGGGTCTTTGGACTCTCCCTTCTTTTAGGTGCCCCAGAGGACGTTCAAACTGGGCGGAGGCAGCTGCATTCCGAGGACGAAAGGTATAGAGGGGTACAAGCTGCGCGGGCTCATTGGGCTACCTTAAGCTATTAGGAGGCACCCACTCCATCCCCACACCCCCGGCCACTCGCTCACTACCCAGGGTGTCATCAGAGACACTGTCTTCCCATGCCAGCTCCCCAAGTCCAGCAGTGGGTACTGGATGAGGAATTCCCCTCCCCAAACCGATTTGCTGCCTCAGAACAGAGTGTGGGGTGTGCGCGTTGTCCTATGCTTCCTCCACCGCACTTGCCAACTCCTCCTCATGAAAGCAGCCTGGAGCAGGGCTGGGGGCCTGAGGCAGCCTCTGCTGATTTCCCACCCTGCGTTCCCAGAGTCCCTATGCAGGAATTGGCGCTCCAGGCTCCCGGGCATTCTCTCAGCGGCAGAGCCGGCGCCAGGCTCTGCCTAGGGAGGGTGGGAAGCCCCCCGGAGCGCCGCCAAATACTTTTCTTGGCCACTTGGCTTGGCCAGGTTCCGTCCTGATGCAGTGAGTCCGAAGCCTGGAAAGCTAGCGGTGCTGTCTGATTCTGATCCGTGATTAAATTCGGACTGAGCGGACACTAATAGGATTACCCAGACTAAAAACTCGGCCCTAAAGCAATCGGAACCTGGGCAAACAGACGCGCCTCAATCTGGGGGATTCACTCCCCGCTGGGCTCCTGCAGCTGGGTGCGGCTGAGTCGGGCACCCAGAATGTGGGTGTGTGTGAGCTAGGGCAGGAGCTTCGAGTGGCTAGGAAACCTGAGGAGATTGAATTCCAGTTGCTGGGGTAGGTTGTCCTTGTTTTTTGGCAGTAGAAGGAACACCTTAGAGTAAGGTCCCCAAGCCAAATGTTCCCGTTGCAGGTAGCTGACCAAGGCCAGTTCTGGGACATTGTCTGTAAGGGCGAGAGAGCCTAGTCGAGGAGAGAAGGTCGTGCTGTAACAAAGACGCAAAGTCTCTGCCAGCCTCAGCAATTCTCAAAGAGTTTACTAAGGAGAGGGCCAGGGTCCTCCAGAGAAAACCTCCGCGGGAATCATGTCTCCCCCATCGGCCTTGGGCCATGGCCGCTACTCGTGTTCCCTGTCTGCGGTGGGCAGATGGGAGCATCACAGTGGCTTGGCCCAGTTTCTTGGCAGGCGCAGGCTCTCCCTCTGGTGCTCTCTGACCGGGTGGTGTCTACCATGCACCCACCAGGGCTTCCCGGCTCGACCACTGCTCTGGGCCCCTGGAGGCCGTGCAGCTTCTTTCCTTCTCTCCCTCCCACCTCTTCTTGTCTTTATAGATTTCCCCCCCGCCCTCCCACCCCCGCCGCCGCCGCCGCCAACAATCCGCTTTATAAAAAGCCCCTTTGTTTCCCAGGAGGCTGGAGAGAGGGAAGGGGAAAGGGACTCAGGCAGAGGGCGGGGGAGGCAGCCTTCAAGTAGCTTTGAGCCGCATGGGACATGTGTAGGCAATGGAGGAGGGGGGGGGTCTAGATTTTGAGGACCCTCTGTAGGAACCGGAGAAGTCACGGAAAGCTCTTGTTCCTTACATTCTGTATGTGCTTGTTCTGCCGGCCTTGGATACCCTAAATCCCTGCAGCTAAGACTGTCTGGCCCACTGCACAGTGAGCAGGCAGGAGCCAGGCTGGAGGCAGGCTAACGCTCAGAGGGGTGGGCAAATGCTGCAGGTTCCTGTAATGATAGGGCTTGGGCATAGGGGGCGCCCTTTCCTCGGTTTCGCTTTGCTTTGGGTCACCCCTCTCAGCCAAAAAATCTAGGGTGTTTGATGTGCCTGTAGGAGGCAGAGATATTGGTAATGGCTTGAGGGTTTAAGCACCTTGCAATCTAGTTCTTCCTTTTCCCCACTACCATCATATCCCCTACACACACACACACACACACACACACACACACACACACACACGACAGTTTTGAAACTCTGCAAGGGTGCCCTTTGTTTGAGGCATGAATTGAGTAGTCTCAGCCACATCTAAGGTAGTGTGGGACTGGAAGTGAGAATTCGAAAGTCACTAGGGTCCGCACTTTGGCCTGTTGCCTTTATACAAATACAGTGTCTAGCAACTAAGGGTGTCCATATTGCACCAGCATTAGGTTTTCAGCTGGACTGAGTATTTACTGAGCTCTGTCTCATAAACCTGCTTCATCCCAGCACCCACCAAATTTGTGGAATGTTAAGCCTGATGTTACAACTAACCTTTCACATCCTGTCAGCCTGCTTCCCCAGGCTTCTCCAAAATGGTCCACTTCTCTCCCCCTGAAGTTCCTCAGTGAAGATAAGGCTACTGTTAAGAAAAAAGTGACAAGTAAGAAGTAGGCGGGGCCTAACTCGAGCTGGTAGTTCTCTAGAGCAGTCCTATTCCTCTTGATCCCTCCCTGACTCCACCCCTCCCCCATTCCCCTTTAATCAGATGTTGAAGTCTTTGTAAGCATGAGTGCCCACGCTCTAATTCTTTTTTGCATATCTTTCTCCTGCTCCACTCCCATCTGTGTAGTGTGTTGTCCGAACATTTCTGGTATTTAGAGTAGGTGAAGTGGTAATCCCCTCCCCCACACCTAAAAGCATAAGAAAGTAATCAAAGGGTGAACTACTGGTTCTACCTTCTCCCCCTTTTGTGTATCTCTTCTGAAGCAAGATCATTGGAAAATAAAGCTGCTGATGTGTGAGATGGAACATATGGTACCTCCATAAGAGAGAAGCTGAAATGGCCTTGAACCTGCCGGACAGACCAGCTGTTTGCTGCCAGCTAGAGCAGCTAATCAGCTTTTTCCCCTTAAAGTAACAGCCCTCTTTTCTCTTGATGACCAGTAGTGTATTAAATAGCGTGTTCTTCAGTGGGGAAAGTGATGGCCTTCTATTTTACTTTGTACTTTTGCAGGTCTCTAGTGCTTTATTTCTGCTCTGGGGGCTACTTTACCCTCTAGCTATACCTCTCTCTAGTTTATGCATTTTTCCTCTGTTGCTCATAGTATAGCTTTGGAGGCGTGGAAAAAGAAGAAAGATGGAGCTGAGAGTTCCAGATCCCTGGCAGAAATGTATCTGCTTTGTACCTACTGGTGTTGGAAACAACTAGCAGTGTTTCTCCTCCTCTCTTTTAAAACATCTTAAGAGTTGAAGGACTTCCTTATAAGATCTCCTTTAAAACCATCCTCTTCCTGCTATGACCATTTTCAGTTTTCCTTCAGTTCAATGTGTGTGTGGGGGGGCAGTTTGGCGTTGGAAGAAAGGCTTTAGAAGATACAAGGAAATTCCATGTTAGGAAATCATTAGCAAAGGGTGACTTTGTCTGTTTTCCTGCCACTGACTCTGACAGTGACACAGATGTGTGGGTTGAAACAGGAACATCGTTGAATTTTTAGACTCAACCAGGAAATAGCCTGTTGCTACAGTTGGGGGGGGTGTTATATATTCACTGCATATTAAAATAGGAGATTTGCTGTTGCTGATCCTTTTCAGTAAGAAAAAGGAATTTTTAACCCCAGCAGCATACTTAATGCCACCCCACCCCCTACATTTTACTAGTTAAAGGCTTAAAATGAACCTGTTAGTGAAACATGCCCAGGAACTGCTTTACTGTTTAGGGTTGTGAGATAGACAGAAATTGATTGTAAACAAGTGGTTCTTCTGGCAGTAGCTGGACTGCTTCTTTCCTTTTAAAGGGACTTTGTATATGTAGTAAACATTTTCAGTTTCAATGATTCTGAATTTTCTTTGCCAGTGACAATATATGGCTGATCAGAACATTTGACTAGAAACTGGAAAACAGGCTTTTTCTTAAAAAAAAAAATTCTTCCTTTAATTAACAGAGGGATCTAGGGCAAGCTTTTCCCCCATCCTTGTATTTCCACTATAATTTCTGAATCTGATTCCCTTCTAGTTCTGAAGTATTAGGATTTATAAACAAAATTGTCACTTTCTGAGAAAATGAAATATCAAGTTCAGCCTTGTCATTGTGAAAAACAGTGAGATAAAGAAATTGGGCTAAGATTTTAAAAGGCATTGAGAAGAGGGGAATTAAATACAGCAGAAGGCCAATCAAACTAATATTAAAGTGGAAAATGTCCCCTCTCTTGTGTCTTTGCAAGTGTGAACTTCTAACCTAGAGTTATAGAGAAGGGGGCTTAGAGGCAACTCTGAGTGTCTCTTGTCCAGTGCTCTTTATACAGCCCTCTGGGGACTTATTGAGATGGCAGGCCTCCTAATCACTGTGTTGGTCTACAGATAACGGGATCTAAACTCTTTGAAATTAGACTGGCATATTTCCAGAGGACTCATTAAATATAGAGCAGATTTGCTGCCTTGCAGTTATTTTGCAAAGGTTAGAAGGACAAAAAGGCCTGCTATTCACATACACACATGACCCACTGGGCTATGGATTCCGAACTCGATGCCGAACCTTTTCTTAACCCTCCAGTTCCAAGGAATGTTTTTTGAAGAACACATTTCTTACTTCAAGGATTCAGCAACAGTGTAAGTATCTGCTACTGTCCTGCTTGATGTTAATATTGATTTTTTTTTAAACGGGTAGCAGTAGACATTATGAAGAAGGACCTTTTATCCTTCAGTTCTTTGGCAATTATTTTGCTGCCACAAATGTTGATATACACATAATGAATGTAACTTAAAAAAAAAAAAACAACTCCTTATCCAAGCAAAAAAAAAAAAAAAAAAAAAAAGCAGAATGTAGATAGAATGCTGAGAGTGTGAATAGACCATCTCAGGTATCATCAAGAGGGAGATAAATGATGGAGGAAAAGGAGCTGGTTATATGGTTCAGCACAATATCCCATCCTACACTTCTCACACCACCACCAGGGAGGGGTAACCTAGGCAGCACCAGTCAGCCAGACAGCAGGAAAGAAACACTGCAACACTTAGTAGGGACTGGTCTGATTTTTTACACTTTTAAAGAGCAAATCCTGAAACATCTTTAGGTCTTTGAGAATGGAATTTCACCAATGGAATATTATGGTGCATGTTTATTACTTGTTGCTAATGTTGCACCATTGTTCTAGCT